ATTATAGAAGTATATAATACAATCATAATAGAAGTATAAAATACAATCATAATAGTGTACAAACTTACAATTCCAATTAATTATAGTCGAATTTCGACTACTGTTGGACCTCTAGTTCTTTTAAATTGCCGTAGCTATGAAACAACTGTAGGTACTAGAGACTAGCTGTCTCAATAGTAGTATAATGATGGTTTTTTTAATAATATGGCTGTATTTTTATCTTTACTATAAAATGAATACTGCGAAATTACTTTTTATTAAATTAACATAAAGTCGATTTTAAACACGTGCTATAATGACGTATTTTTTTAAAAGTTGGTACCATTCCAATGATTTGAAAGTCGGTATGGGCGCATCATTGTTCTTTGAACAATGTGTAATATTACTAAAAAGCTACGATGTATCGTAAATCAACGGGCACGGTAGATCAGTTTCAATTAGCAATTTTATCAAAGAATCTACTCAAATAAACAAATAATTTTAACAAATGTCGGTCCAGCTGAACCCCGTATATGCTGTCCAGTGATTGTTGGATTTGCATTTTAACATTACATTGCAAGACCTTTAACAGATGGCATTTTTTGTTCTTACAAAATCTTACATCGATACACAACCCACAGACACAGTCCACTGAGTTTTTCGTCAGATCTTCTCAGTGGATCGCGTTTCCGATCCGGTGGTAGATTCTGCGAAGCACTGCTCTTGCTAGGGTCAGTGTTAGCAACACCCCGGTTTAAGCCCCGTGAGCTCACCTACATGCTAGGGCGAGGCTGAAATAGCCTCTCAAGGCTATCAGCATATGTAGGAAAAAAAATCGATACTATCAAACTACGCCTTGTTCACGGGAACAGCTTAAATTAACCTTAACATTTACCGATTTTCGTATGAATTTTCCAAAACGAATCTTTCCTACAGATGTTGGCCTTGCAATTACATACGCAATAAAAAAGTGAGCAGTCGAAACGATCGAAGTCTAATTGGTAATTAATTAATTTCTATTTCTACAGATTTGCGTTTCGATTATTTGGGAAGAACCATTTGTTTCCTTTAATAAATATGACGCGGGAGCTGAAAATTAAAATACACCAGAATAATAATCTTGTTGTTGAATGGTGTTGGAGTCGGATGTTGCAAATTCCATGGACAGCACGCCGGATCAACCTATCCATTCTGAAGGGGCTCGGTATTGCCACAAGGCTGTCCGCTATCTGCTTCCAACGTTCCACACGAACTTCGGCCATATCGCTCGCAGAGGCCCCGATAACTTAGAGAAGCTGATGGTAGTTGGTCAGGTTGACGGGAGAATATCACGCGGACGCTCATCTACCCGCTGGTCTGATCTGGTTAAAACACTCACCGGCCTGCTAATAGCCGAGGCTATCAAGACCGCCGAGGACAGGACGACGTTCGGAAGCATTGCGCATCGAGTGGTCCACGCTTCAGATTAGATACGATCTTCAGCAATGAAGAGACTGACTCAGAAGAAGAAGAAGAAGAATAATCTAACTTTAAAAAACTTTCCCAATTCATTATTCGCGTTGTGCGACTTAAACTTCAATTTCACTAGTCGCGCGTAAGAATCGCGCAGCCGAGCACCTGTTTAACCTCTACGTTAAATTTAGCGAAGCGAAAATACACGGTCAATTAATAGCGGACAGCACAACAAAGATATGTACTTGGCACTGAACGCAACTAATTAGACGAAAAGCGAAATTTTCGGCCGTCAATTGTAGGTATGGTCGTGTAATAAAAATCAAACCCGCAACATTATAATTTGCGTAATTACTGCTGGTAGGACTTCTTGTGAGTCCGCACGGCTACCACCACCCTGCCTATTTCTACCGTGAAGCAGTAATGCGTTTCGGTTTGAAGGGTGGGGCGATCGTTGTAACTATACTGAGACCCTAGAACCTATATCTCAAGGTGGGTGGCGCATTTACGTTGTAGATGTCTATGGGCTGTGAGCTCGTCCACCCACCCACGCAATAAAAAAAGGTATCCTTTCAATTGAAAAACCGTTTTGAAGATTTCACTTTCCACCTGGTATTAAGAGTGGTTACCGGAGCCCATAGACATTGACAACGTAAATGCCGTCACCCACTTAGAGACTTTCTAAGTCTCCGTTTTTACAAGACTTAATTTACAATACTCAATGTTAATAAGATTCGGATACATTTCACGCCGAACCGACGATCCGCCGTGCACTTCCTGCGTGCGATCGTTGCCAACTGTCATCGTTCAAGTGATTTACTCCCATCCAGTTTAGTATCAGAGAAACCCGAAAAATATTCCGTTTCAAAGATTTATACGGCACACGAAAACACGATTTGTTCTCGTTTCCTAAAATACAGCTTTGTTGCGAAACGCGCGATTCTGAGCCGGTGAGCTGGCGATTCGATTATTTTCGTGTTTTCGAAAATGCAGTTTTTTTATTTTGGAGTTTACTCCTTAAGAATCGATTTACATATATAGGCCCGGGGTATGAAAATTATGGGGACCAAAATCGTACTAGAGAGTATAGCATGTCACACGAAATGCGTTATGCGCCTGATTGGCCATGGTGATGCGTGCGCGCGCCAATCAGGAGCCAACGCGCGGCCGCGTTATCGCAGGTGACGCCGGGCTGCTGCGCCGGCAGTCCGCCACAAAGCCTCGTACTGATCGCGCGTTTCTCTCATTATTGTATTTTCATATATTTGTTAGTCGTTTNAAAAGATCTTTGGAAACGCACTGTCGATGAACGCAGCGGTTCCAGATAATATGGATGAACTCTGCTCCGATGGCGGGAGGTGCGATGATAAAAAGGAGATGAGGGAATCATCTCGAATAATTCCTCAGAGCATTCCCCATGGACCATGCGGTATAAAACACAGAGAGAACCGAAGTCCCTCCGTAGACCCAGAGGTTCCAAGCCATCCGCGAGAGCAGGACTATCGACCATCCGAACAGCCCGTTTCTGTTTTGAGTCAAATGGAAGTAGCTGGTATTTGGGAGCCCGTGGAGGGGAGTTCCCTGCCGGAGATCTACTTCACACAATGTGCAGTCAGGCGGGAGCTCCGACTCCTGGACGTCCATAAGTCGAGTGGGCCAGACGGTATCTCTGCAGTGGTTCTGAAAACGTGTGCCCCTGAGCTAACGCGTTTTTATCGCCTCTCTTATTGCACTAACAGGGTTCCGTCTTCATGGAAGACCGCCCACGTCCACCCTATCCCCAAGAAGGGTGACCGGTCGGACCCATCGAGCTATAGGCCTATCGCGATAACTTCCTTGGTTTCCAAGGTGATGGAGCGAATAATAAATATACAACTCCTGAAGTATCTTGAAGATCGCCAGCTGATCAGTGACCGACAGTACGGTTTCCGTCACGGTCGCTCAGCTGGCGATTTTCTTGTATATCTTATTCACAAGTGGGCTGAAGCCTTGGAAAGCAAGGGCGAGGCTCTTGCTGTGAGCCTTGATATCGCGAAGACCTTCGACAGGGTCTGAAATAGGGCACTTCTGCCGAAGCTACCATCTTACGGAATCCCCGAGGGTCTCTGCAAGTGGATCGCTAGGTTTTTGGATGGGCGGAGCATCACGGTCACTATTGATGGCATGCATTGCTATGCGGATGACAGCACGGGGAATGCGCGATATATCGGCCATCAGAGTCTCTCTCGGAGCGTGGTGCAAGAGAGACGATCAAAACTTGTGTCTGAAGTGGAGAACTCTCTGGGGCGAGTCTCCGAATGGGGTGAATTGAACTTGGTTCCAGAGATGCGCCGGGGCTCCCAAATATCAGCTTCTTCCATTTGATTCCATACAGAGGAGGGCCGTTCGGATTGTCGTTAATCCCATTCTCACGGATCGTTTAGAACCTCTGGGTCTGCGGAGGGACTTCGGTTCCCTCTGTATTTTATACCGTATGTTCCATGGGGAGTGCTCTGAGGAGTTGTTCGAGATGATACCGACATCTCGTTTTTACCATCGCACCGCCCGTCACCGAAGTAGAGTTCATCCATACTACCTGGAGCTACTGCGGTCATCCACAGTGCGTTTCCAGAAGTATTTTTTGCCACGTACCATCCGGCTATGGAATGAGTTTTCCTCCACGGTGTTTCCCGAGAGCTATGACATGTCCTTCTTCAAACGAGGCTTGTGAAGAGTATAAAGCGGTAGGCAGTGGCTTGGCTCTGCCCCTGGCATTGCTGAAGTCCATGGGCGACGGTAACCACTCACCACCAGGTGAGCCGTATGCTCATCTGCCTACAAGGGCAATAAAAATAGGTCAATAACTCAATATCACGCCAACCGATTTCGATGATTATTGTTTTTAGTGTATATTAATTTGTTTTGGAATATTATTATTTTTTATTTGAAGTCAGTTTTTGTTAAAGCATGTCTATTTATTATGGACATTTTAGGTTAGTCATTGTCTTATATTACATTGTTTTGATGAAGACTTTCAGAATCAATAGTGACTGATGACTTTTTGGCGGGAACGCGAGGAGTAAAGTTGTGTTATTTGTTTTATTTCGTCTATTTAGTCTTTCTTCAGGTTTAAATGTGTAATAAATAACAGTGGCGTATTAACTGTTTAATATCTGTGAAAATGCACAAATGTGGGAAAATGAAACAAAGCCGCTGGACGTAACTTCTCGGGATCCTCCAAAAAGTCCACTGAAAAAATCGCAGTAAATGACCACCATTTTACTGAATTTATATTTCATCCCATATCATCTCATCTCATTTCATTTAATTTCATCCCAGTTGATTAATGTCTCAAATTAATCATCTTTATTTCATTTCATTTCATTTCACTCCACATTATCATTTTTCATAAAAATAAGATTAAAAATTAAAATAAGACATGACCTAAATGGTCTTACTTACCAGGTCACAAAATCCCTTAAGAAATCAATAGTAAGTGGAATGTTTAGTTGAATAAACACTACATTAATCTGTTTAAAAAAACCTATATTCATCACGGATTTACACTTTTGTAATTAATTGGATACAAATTATCCAACCAACATGACGATTGGAACCAAGACTCCAACCATTACTGCCGCTAGAGAAGCTATCTTGTACTTGTGTTTCCTCGCTTTAACGTGCATGTAAGCTTCAAATCTTTGAAAGCTACTCACGTCGTAGCCCAGCCGATGGTATTCTCTGAGCTGCTTCACGAATCCAGGGTTCGGGTTAATGAACCGTCTGCGCTGTCTAACATAAACATACGCCTGTTCGAACGTCAGCTTGTATTTCTCCATGATATACGCGATGACCAGGGTCGCAGACCTGGAAACACCAAAGTGACAGTGGACGAGCACGTTGCCCGCCTGTAGGCCCTCATCAATGAAGGAGTTGGCCATTGGGAAGTAGGGCAGGAGATTGGTCTGAGGAGTGTCGTAGGCCCTAATGAACAGGGTGTTGATGTCGGTATCATAGAAAGTAGATTTCGGGAGGCGATTCGCCGCAATGGTGAGCACGTGCGTGATGTTGAGGCTTCGAAGGACATTTTTGTCGGCTGCAGCGCGGGCATTGCTCAAATAGAGGCCCGGAATGATCTGGCTGTAGCAAGATTGAGTGCAGAGGTCGATCTTGTGGTAGAAGGCCTTCCTAGACCAGTTCTTGAAGCTGGAAAGCGCCACGACCGGGTTGGGGATGGTGAGAAAAGCGACAATGAAGGCGCTTTTGAACATCACAAAGAGCAATCCTCTCGCACTAATCATGCTAATAATAATGAAGATTTTATTTTCACATTGTGTATTAATGTTTTTTTGTTTTGAATAGTTTTTGCAACAGTGTTTGAAGTGACGTTTATACGACTGTTATGACAGAAGTTTGTTTTTACGTCATAAGTCTTCTGTCATTCATTACAAAGGACAAGCACCACTTTGATCCTTCTTTCTGAAAATAATGAGGTTTTATTTACGTTTTTGTTATAGAGTCTGGGCATTTTTGTCTTATATATGTACTTGCAGTAACTAGAGAACAAAAGACAATCCGGAAGAGTTTTTTTAGTGTGGAACGTGTTTTTACATGTATTTAAGAATCTCAAATTATTTGATACGTTAGTCTATTTACAGGAATAAAACGTTTCTATTCGTACAAGACTATTGAAGCCGTGCTTTTTTTTCCTACCTAAGCTGATAGCCTTGAGAGGCTAACCTTAGGCCTAAGGCAGCGTAACCTTAACTAGTAGGTGAGCTCACGGGGCTTAAAGTTCAAACCTGACGTAAGCCAATCGTAGCTGTATTAAATTGAGGATTATGCGAATACGCTAAAACTTAGTATTTATCGGACATTTTCTTTTTTGTGTTCTCCTAGCACCTGTACTACCAATTTCTACCAATTTCTTCCAATCCACGTATTTATAGTCTATAAGACGGTATTAAGCAAGAATAAATAATTAAAATGTCAATGTCAATTTAATTTCATCTGATTTTTGGATTTTTGTGTTACGACGTCATTAAGAGTAGTAGTGGTCTTATTTTTCTAACAGGAAGGGGAAAGGTGTCATACCATACAGCCTAATCTTTTATTTCAATATATTTTTTTAATACGAAAAATGAGAATATGGTGTGAAATGAAATGAAGTGGTTAATATGAAATGAGATGAGATGAAATATAATCTCAGTAAAATGGTGGTAATTTACTGAGACTTTTTCAGTGGACTTTCTGGAGGATCCCGAGAAGCTACGTCCAGCAAGCAGCTTTGTTTCATTTTCCCACATTTGTACAACCTGAAGAAACACTAAATAGACAAAATAAAACAAACCACACAACTTCACTCCTCATGTTCCAGCCAAAAAGTCACGATTCACGGCATTAACATGAAAATGAAAACGTCTTCATCAAAGAGCTTACAGGGCACAGAAATTATGACCAATTATTTCCCGCAAAATTGCATTATTACATATTTTAGCACACGATAACTGTGAAAATAATGTTCACAATAAAATCGAAGCTGAAACGGCTTTAGAGAGGTCAAATACACACAGACATAGATTTATGAGTCAGAGTACAGACTTGATTTCGTATCGCCATTACGCATAGGCTATATAGGGATGACATTTAAAAATTTACTCTAAAAACGTTTTGATAAAGGATAAAATAATTCAAACCCGAGCAAAAAGAAACTCCTTGTCATGTCTTAACTCCGAGGTTCATATTTGATTCTGTTTTAAAGTAGTCCCTTAGTGTATTATGAACCATGCTCATTGAAATTTTAATTCATGTTTCAAGTTCAAGCTTTGTGGTCACCGTAGCTCAAGGCCACAGTAGCATAAACGCTACATACCGGATTTGAAATAAAAAAATTAAGACTTAATCGCATTTTATGAGTGACTCTCCTATTCTTTAAATCTGGTGGTACCTATACTTCCGGATAGAAATACCGCAACTTTAGGATCAGTGTTATTAGAAATACAAAAGTACCCGTGCGAGCTTATAATAAGCTGCCTTCCAAACACATACACATATTATACATAACATAAATAATAAATAAATGGGAACAAATCACGCAAGGCCATCTGGCCCAAATTAGGATTCTCTGTGTTATAGCCTCTGATACGGCTGACATAGATTATTTAAATATATACATACATAGATAATAAACACTCAGACAAAGAGCAAATAAACCTGTTCATCACACAAATGTTTGCTCGATGTGAAAATCGAAGCTACGACCCTAGGCGCAACAGTCAGAGGCGCCAATTACTGCACCACCTATATTAAACCTATTAATATGAAGTATCTGGCAACCCTAACGGCACCTGTGTAAGTGATCTGGTTTGTCGAAATAACCTGTAAATGTGACCCACTTCGTATGTAGGTCGGTTCGATTTCAGAGAGACATTCGAACGAAGGTCATCTACTGAACTGCATTCTTTTTTCTGAACGTTGTTTCACGAATTCACAAATATTCACAAATTTTATGTTCGTGGTTGTTTTTAGCGATTCTCTGAAAAAGTTTGACAGTCAATTGAGTTAAAAATATTATTGGAGGAAAGGTGTTATAGGAAACCTATAAATTGACTTCAAAAGCTGTGCCGGGGTCGTGAATGCGTGATCAGCAATGCTAAGGACGCAAGCCGCTGCTAACAGCATAAAATAGCTGAAATAGAAACGCAAATTTCAGACTCGGGGCGGTATTAAATAATGTATGGACACGTATTGTGGCAGAGTGAAACGATTTGAAGTTGTACAGATAAGCTCTGTACCGGTAATGACTGGCGTGATGGTACAAAAGCGATGCTTACACGAAGTGTGACGTGATTACATATCACGTTACACTTCAGAAGACTTAAAGATGCGGCTGTTCTACATTTTTTATTCGTGCACATTAGCACACGTGGATCGAGAAGATCCATTTAATAATTACGATTTCGTAGGTAACGCAAAATCCATCTTGAGACATGATTTGAAAATCTCATTTCCGTCATCATTAGTTGAGATTAGTCAACTGCTGGCCTCCCCAAAATGCATCATTACACCCATTTTTACAGTATATTTTATTTTGGGCCGGTTTCTACACCTTTTTATACAAGCTTTTGAACCTAAGTTGGCGCGCAGGGTATGTGGGCCTCTATGGTGGAAGATAGTAAAGGCCAGGGCCGAATTTGGTAGAGGACCGTTCACTAAGCGACTCTTCGCTCTCTCCCCACGCCGGATCCCCATCCAAAACAGGCAAAGTAGGTAGTTCCCTCGGTCAACACTACAACTAGCTCTATCGCTAGTTCTCGCTTTCGTGAAAGTAAAATGCTAGTTCAGACAAATATCTACTTTATCAAAACCACAAAAACATTACGCAACATTTCGTGCTCTTTCTAAATTTATTTACATAGAAACGAGATGTCCGTGGACCGAGTGCCAATGTAGATAAAATGTAAATTACAAACGTTCACACGACTAATCTGGTTCATGATGGCCTATTTTTTTTTTATCGAGCGCTTTTGTTGTGACCTGTACGGTTATGAGTTTTATTAGTTAGAATTATGTGTCCTGTTTTCTATCGTAGCGCTTATACTGGAATTCACTGATTCTTTATATGTGATTATTTATATTTCTTTACTGGTGGTAGGACCTCTTGTAAGTCCGCGCGGGTAGGTACCACCGCCCTGCCTATTTCTGCCGTGAAGCAGTAATGCGTTTCGGTTTGAAGGGTGGGTCAGCCGTTGTAACTATACTGAGATCTTAGAACTTATATCTCAAAATGGGTGGCGCATTTACGTTGTAGATGTCCATGGGCTCCAGTAACCATTTAACACCAGGTGGGCTGTGAGCTCGTCCACCCATCTAAGCAATAAAAACGTAAAAAAAAATATCCAATTTTGAGATATAACATATATTTAGTTTTATTTATGTATGTATTAGGAACAGTACCATATAATAGACTTAGGTCACCTTAAATATTTTTTTTTTAATAGAAACAATATTATGCTACTTTTGAACATGCTATGCTTGCACCGCGGCAGAAATAGGATCGTACGGGCTTCTAATGCGGGCGACCTCAACCTAAATAGTTATCTATAACCTCAACATACGCCCAGTCAACCAAGCATTTAGTTATTAACATTTATTTAAGATTTAATTGACATTTCTTGGTGTTTGAAATATATAACTGAAAAAAAGTGACCATGTTTTTTTACTAAAATTAATCCGATTTAGTGAGAGAGAGAGAGAGAGAGAGAGAGAGAGAGAGAGAGAGAGAAAGACATTAAATACAAAAAAAAGTACAATTGGTGAATAAATACGTAAAATACGTCAATAAAAAAGATGGCGCTGCCGTATTACTTCTATTTAATGACGAAAAACTAATTTTTAGCAACGGTTTCTTGTTGTTTCTGGTTTTTTTCGTAGACGCTCATAGTCTCGACTGGTAAAATTAAAAAACTGAATAAAAGGAACAATCAAAAACGTAACATGAAGCTAGAAAAGTAATTTCAATTATGACTGATTCGGTTATGCGGCGGTTTGTGTCTCTGACTGTTGTGCCGAGGATCGTGGGTTCGATTCCTACATCAGGCAAATATTCAGGTGATGAACAGGTGTCTTTGCTCTTTGCCTGGGTGTTTACTATCTAATAATATGTACATAATTAAACGTATATAAGCGTGTTTGTCAGTCTCTGGTACACAGGGAATCCTATATTGGGACTGGATGACCGTGTGTGATTTTTTCCCAATTATTTAACAGTTTAAGGACCGAGATTCTTTAGCGATTTTTGCCAAAAGTAATTAAGTGCATAGTTATGGATAAAGAATAAGCTACTTTTAGTTTTTTGATTATGCAATTATATTGTCTAATAGTCCCCCTTCAATATGTTATAGCTACTAGCCTAGATGAGCCATGGCAGTCCGCGTTTCTTACATCTCTCTCTCTCTCTTTTTTCGATCGGCCCCTCACTGCTGAGGATCATGACTCCGTCCGATTCCGTCAACCAGCTGTCTTCATCGATCCCGTTTTGTAGCTTGGTGGAGTGCGTCGTGTGTGGAGTTTCTTATATATTCAATAGAAAACTTGCGGTCAGGGGTATACTAGGCAGGTGAGTTGCGGTGGTCCCAAGGGATCGCTAATTTTGTTTTGGCAAAGTAATATTATAGTATCCATCCTCAGGGACCGCTCCGGTCCTTAACCTTAAAAAAACCTAAAAAAATACTATGATAATTAAGATGCACTATATTCTTTATTTTTTCTCTTGTCGGAAACGAATATTTTCTACCGAATG